CGCGTCCAAGTACTCCACAGCGTGGCTGGCAAGAAAGGGTATAAAAGAAGAAAATCTAATGACATGGCCTCCTTGTTCACCTGATCTGAACCCCATTGAGAACCTGTGGTCCATCATCAAATGTGAGATTTACAAGGAGGGAAAACAGTACACCTCTCTGAACAGTGTCTGGGAGGCTGTGGTTGCTGCTGCACGCAATGTTGATGGTGAACAGATCAAAACACTGACAGAATCCATGGATGGCAGGCTTTTGAGTGTCCTTGCAAAGAAAGGTGGCTATATTGGTCACTGATTTGTTTTTGTTTTGTTTTTGAATGTCAGAAATGTATATTTGTGAATGTTGAGATGTTATATTGGTTTCACTGGTAATAATAAATAATTGAAATGGGTATATATTTGTTTTTTGTTAAGTTGCCTAATAATTATGCACAGTAATAGTCACCTGCACACACAGATATCCCCCTAACATAGCTATAACTAAAAACAAACTAAAAACTACTTCCAAAAATATTCAGCTTTGATATTAATGAGTTTTTTGGGTTCATTGAGAACATGGTTGTTGTTCAATAATAAAATTAATCCTCAAAAATACAACTTGCCTAATAATTCTGCACTCCCTGTAGAGTTAAAGGAGGGTATAGATATGGAGTGAGAAGAAGAGAGGGGGGTTGGTTGTGTCCAGAGAGGTGCCAGTGCCGGACATGTCCACCATATGTGGCTCATCGTGCCCACTTCTTTATCGCATCGCCAACATATGTTTGTGGAGGTAGGCCAAATTTTGTGTATTTTTTCCGGCACTAAGTACCAACGGTATAGTATTTTCCGTTGGATTTCTAGGTGTTGGGCGCATGATGTCATGCCTTTGTGTGCCGTGTAAGCTCTTTTCCACTGTTCTGGGCTTAACTCCGTGCCCAGATCTGTGTGCCATGCCTTTTGGTAGTATTCCTGTGTCAGTGGTTGATTGTGTAGGTTCAAGTGGTAGCACGTGGAGAGGGATTTGACATTGGGCTTATTTGATAGGCAAATATTTTCCAACTTAGATGTTGATGCTTGTGACCCCTTTTCAGGGTTTCTGGGTGGGTTGTTTGTTAGTAGGGATTTGACTTGGAGGTAGGGGAATAGTAATTTTGCGGGTAGGTCAAATTGTTCCTGTAGACTTGTAAAGGATTTGAGGTGTTCCCCTTCGTGTAGGTGGAGTACGTGGGTGACGCCTTTGTCCGTCCACGGCTTAGGTGGGAATCGTCAGGCTTATGGATTGCAGTGGTGGTGCCATCGGTATCTTTGGGTGGGTAACTAAAGTTTTCCTCACCCCGTCCCATGTGTCTATCAGCAACCGAGTAGTGGGGAGGCCTTGGAATGGTTTTGGTCTCAGAGTACTGTCCGTCCAGAAGATAGGGCGGATGTGGTCTATGTTAAGCCAAACGGCTTCCTTTCCTGCCCATTGTGGGGTGTAATGGGAGTCGTGAGCTGCTAACATAGTACTTAGTATCTCTGCCTTGTGGTAATGATACAGGTTTGGTATACCTAGGCCTCCGTCTGCTACCCGCCTCTGCAGGATCTTAGCGGCTACCCGGCTCTTTTTGTGTTGCCATGTAAATTTCATGAGTAGTGAGGTAACCGACTTGAGGTAGGTGTTTGGTAGAGGTATTTGTAGTGTCCTGAAGAGGTATAATAGTTTTGGGAGCAACAACATTTTGAATGCTGCTATACACCCCAACCATGAGAGGAATTTCCCCTCCCATGATTTCAGGGTGTTGTCGAAGTCTTTTAGTTTTACATAGTTTGCGTGGAAGAGTTCTGCAGGTTTTTTTGTGAGTTTGAGTCCTAGGTATGTTAAGTAGTCTGATCTCCAGTCTAAGGGGAAAGCCTCCTTCGGTCTGTTTCTCGCCTCTGTAGTCACTCCTATCGTTAATGCCTGTGTTTTGGAGACATTTAATTTATAATAAGAGTGGTGGCCAAAGAGATCTATTTGTCGCATTAAGTTGGGCATGGTTATGAGCGGCTGAGTTAAGGTGAGAAGAATGTCATCTGCAAATATGTTTAGTTTGAATTCTTTGTCGCCTAGGGGAATACCATGGATGTTCGGGTCTGATCTAATTTTGGATGCTAGTGGTTCTAGGGCCAGTACATAAAGCAGAGGGGAGAGGGGGCATCCCTGTCTGGAGCCATTAGAGATGTTTATGGTCCGTGATGGGAATCCTGCGTATAGGACTTGTGCAGAGGGTTTGTTATAAAGGGCGTCTACTGCTGCCACGAATTGCGTGGGAAAGCCGAATCTGTGGAGTACTCTGTTTAAAAAGGTCCAGTTGAGTCTATCAAAGGCCTTCTCCGTGTCTAGGGACACGAAGAGACCCTCCATTCCCAGTTTTCTAGAGCTATGCATGAGATTTAGTACTTTGCGGGTATTATCTGAGCCCTGTCTACCCCTCACCAATCCTACTTGGTCGTCGTGAATGAGGTCCGGTAGGATAGTTTTTAGTCTATTGGCTTGTAGTTTTGCGAAGAGCTTGGGATCCGTATTGAGTAGAGAGATCGGTCAGAAATTTGGGCATGTGGTTGGGGACTTCCCTGGTTTGGGGAGGGTGGGGATATGAGCTCGTAAGAGTTCTGTGGGTAACAAGTGGTTGTCTATAGCGTTGTTAAATAGAGTGGTCAGTGCAGGGGCTAGGACGTCTGCGTATTTATGGTAGTACGTGTTTGCAAATCCATCAGGGCCCGGTGCCTTACCCGCTGGGAGGGTTTTTATTGTGTCCTTTACTTCTTGTTGGGTGATTGGGGCTGAGAGAGCTTCTCTGTGCTGTTGTGAGAGGGTTGGCAATTGGGCATCTTGTAAGTAGTCATCTATTTGTGTGGGTGGTGTTAGGGGTGTTAGTGGGTCATTTTTAAGGTTATATAAGGTTTCGTAGTACGTGGCAAATTTGTCACTGATATCTTTCGGGGCAACCAGCCTATTTCCGTTTGGAGCCTGTATGTGTGCTATTTTAGTCTTTGGGTTAATATTTTGCCCGCTCTGTTTCCCTGGGAATAGTGAGTAGCTTTTAATTTCCGTAATGAGTAGCCAACTCTTGTAAGTGCGAAAAGCCTGTATTTTGTCCTGTGTTTCTGAGATTCGGCTTCTTAGCTCTGGGGATGGGTTTGTTTGGCTTAATTTGTTGAGATTGTGCAGTTGTTTGTACCAGGTGACCCTTTGTGCATGGGACGTCCGTTTAAGGTAGTGTGCTCTTTTTATCAGTTCCCCGCGTATGACAGGTTTGTGGGCTAGCCAGGTGATCTCCACCGAGATCCCTGGTGTGGTGTTTTCTTTAAAGTAGTTTTTAAGTGTGTTTTATATGTGGTCTGTGAATGTTTTGTCGTGTGAAAGTGTTTCATTCAGCCGCCAGGGGCTTCTGTTGTGGCTCTCAAATTTGTCCTTTAGTTCCATAGTGATGGGTGCGTGGTCTGACCATGTGATAGTCTCTATTGAGCATTTGAGTACCTGCGTTAGGTGTTTTCCTTCAGTGAGGAACCTGTCTATTCGTGTGTAGGAGTTGTGAACCGAGGAGAAGAATGTGAAATCTCTCTGCTCGGGGTGGAGAACTCTCCACGTGTCATAGAGGTTATGTTCGTCTAGCAGTCTCTGGTATGTTGTGCATTGTCTTCTGGCTGAGTTGTTTCCTTGCGTTTTAGAACCTTTGGATGAATCTAAGCCGGGGTCTAGAGTGTGGTTAAAATCTCCACAGATTATTAGCATTCCCTTCTGAATAGGCGCTATTTTAGCTAATGTTCTATGTAAGAAGTTGCGTTGTTCTGAGTTAGGTGCGTATACATTTACTATGGTGTAGGTAATATCATTGATGGTACATACCTGTATGATATATCGCCTTCCTCGTCTATGACTAGGTCATGTTCTGTGAATGCTACTCGGTTGCTGACTAGCACAGAGACCCCTTTCGTTTTGGATTTTGCTGTGGCGTGTTGTTGATATGGGTATGCGAGGGGTTTAAGGATGTATGGTTTGGTGAAGTGCATCTCCTGGAGACATACCATGTCTGGTTGGGATTTTTGAAGGTCTTCTAGTAGGTGTTTAACAGGGGTGTTCAGCCCCCTTACGTTGTGACTATATATTTTCATAAAGGGAAGGTCTATAAGGAATGCTACCTGTGCCGCTATCAGCATTAGGTTTGTGTTTCCCCTGAGTGTCCTTGTATGTCTCGGAGTTTGAGTCTAGTGTGATGCGTGTAAATAATGGTGCAGTGGGGTATATACTTGCAGTATTGCTGAGTAGCTGCCATGGCGGTTCCGCGTGGTATGCATCCGTGGCGGGTCGAGTCGTTCCTCAAGACTTCTGTGTCAGCGCTGGAGCTTAAAGTTTACTTTGGGTCATCTCCTCGGAGGGTCTAGGTTGGTCTTGGTAAGGGAGGGAGAGTAGGAGGGTAATACAGGAAAAAAGAAAAAGAAACAGTGCGGTTAGGACCGCAGAGCCCAGATTGGGCTGAGTACCCTGAGTGGGTACCATGCAGGTAGGCAACATCAAAAACATAAACAAATATCGTAGACGATTAGCCCTAAAACTTGTCTTAACAGTTCTGCATATGATATATATATATATTTTTTTTGTCCCATAAACTTTGACCCATAAGCCTATGTCCCGGCCATAGACAGATGTTGGATTTGAGAGACCATTTAATCTGTGTTTCCCCAATCCTCCCTTGGGTAGCTGGTGGATGGGTGGCCTCTTGTGACACTGTCCTTATTACAGTTCAACTGGTGTTAAAAGGAGCATCTGGTGGGTGTCGTGTATGTGAGCAACTGTCCTTTGCTGTGCTTGTCTAAGTTTAACTACATGTGCTTTTTTCTTTTTTTTTTACAAATATGAGTGTGAGTTGTGTAGGAGCTGTGTTGTATGGTGTGGGGGGTTGTGTAATGATACCAGATAGGTAAGTCTTCAATCAGGAGGCATCACCATTCAGTCCTGAATCTGTAACACCCATATCTGTATATAGGCTGGTGGAAGCTGGTGGTTATTTTTTCGCCTTCTTCCAGTCTTGTCTTAGTCGCTGCGGCGAAGTTGTACGTCCATGTTGTTTGCGGACCAGTAAGTCCCATTGCTTCAGGGCCTTCAGTCCTTCCTCTGGTGTTGTCACATGGGTGAAGGTACCATTGCGTTGAATAATCAGGCGCACCGGGTGCCCCCACCTATATGGGATCTTGTTCCCGCAACGTTTCTGTTGTCTCCTTGAACTCTCTTCGCCGTTGTAAGGTGGCTGCTGATAAGTCAGCATATATCTGTAGCTGGCCATATTTTGCTGGAAGGTTTGTACGGTTCCTGGCAGCTTTAAGTATGGCCTCTTTGACATGGTAATAGTGTAGGTGGGTCAGCGTGTCTCTTGCTGCCTCTGCGGGTAGAAACTTCGGTTTAGCTACTCGGTGAGCCCGGTCCAGAAGGATCATTTCCGTCGGCATGTCTGGTATGAGACATTTGAAGAACCCCTTTATTTAGCTCATGAAGTTGACTATGAGGAAGCCCGAAGTGCCGCCAGGCAGGGGCACCGCTGATTGACTGGAACGATCAGTTGATGCTCTAAGCCATTCAGTAGCTCTTCATTCATTAAAAAGGTACGCACCCTTTTTTTATGTACAGGTAGCTACTGATCGGTTCTACTGGAAGATCATTAGTAATGCTTTTTAGTTAGAACTCGTGACCTCCAAGCACGGAAGGCAAATGAGAAAGAGATCCCTCCTGGCTGTCTGCTTGACAATCGAAGGTATTGCCAAGGTGAAGTTATAATATAAGGTTGCAGGGACACTGTCTACCCTTAAAGCACTTCAGCAAAGGGTTCATTTATTGCTGTTTAATATAACTTTGATATGTGTAGATGCTAGTAAATACACAGTGGGGCATTTCAAACATCATAAAAATTTGTGGTATTGGTATAGGTTATGGTAGGTCCTTCGTCCATGTGTTCTTGTAGACAGTTGCTCATAAACATAGTGAAAATTACTGAAGCTGTCAGACTGCCTTCCTTCTTTGCCTGTACAATATATTTTCCCACCTCTCTTTATTGATTTGACTTGTCCTGAGCTGCAGCTGCATACATTTGAAATCTACAACTCAGAGTAATGCATACATTTGAAATCTACAACTCAGCCCCATTCAGTGATATATGAAAAGGGAGGTTTACAAAATTCTACACGGAAGTGTTTATGGTGCTTAAAGTGCCCCTTTAAAAGTCAAGCTGCTCTTTCAACATGAGATGAGTATAGAATATAAATAAATTTTTCTTATAAGTGTTTCTTATAATAGCTCTTAAATGCAAGTCAAATAATGTGACGGGACCAAAGTCTTCCTGCCCTGAATAGGCAGGTCACGCAGCAATCGATGAGCAAACGGCAACTCACTGCATCGAGACAAAGCTGTAACGAGATGACACAGTGATGATAGCTGTTCTGTGGGATCATTACGCAGAAACAGAAGATGATTTTGTGAAATCCGCCTACACCACTTAATCATCTGAATTTTTACCACATACCTCCTAAAGGAAAATAAAAAGTGATATAAAAAACACGAAACAGGAAAATATACCTTTATAATGCAGCAAAATTGATTAAAGAATGGAAGAGATAGCCAGCCTGCTGTGGACTGTAAACCCATCAATGTCAGCCAGCCCATGGCATCTTTTTAACACTCATAGACTATGTCAGAGATGGACAATGTGATGGACAATGTGAAATCTTCCAAAAAATATATATCAAGTAAGCTGCGCTTAAAATATAATACACACAAAATAGCAAGGATAATAAGAACTAAATTCTCAGTGGTAAAACGTCCAAAAAAACTTAAATAGAAAATCTAATAAGTAAAAATATTCCACAATCTGTACATATATTATACTCATCATCTAACTATTTTTGGTCGTCCGTCATCTATAGTGACCAGGGGTGATGGGGGTTGTAGTCAAAATAGCAGCCAGAAAATTTAAGTTTGCTCACATGTTACCTAAACCATGTGAAAGTGGAGGCAGTTATAAATTATAGCAGAAATCATTTATAAAAATGGAAATGTGCGATCTTTTGTACCAGGTCACTGAGCTCACAATTAAAAAGCTGTAGTCTGTACTAGATCTGGCATTGTAAACTGCATGCAGAGAATAACATACCGCTAATCATTTTTTTTTCTTATAGGAAATGCAGATTTTATCTCACATCTTGTATTATTCATTTGCTGGCAGTAAACATTAATTGCTTTGGGAGTACATGTGATAAATAAAATCTGTCTTTCTAAAGTCACTGCATTCATTGAATTAAAGCCACAAAGCACTTTAGGAATTCTTATTTCTAGTGTGATATTTACATAGCACAGAGTAATTCAGAGTTAATTTCTGGGCGGAAAATATACAACATAGCGCCACAAGACAGCACGATTGAATCTTATGATGTTTGTGGAAAAACCAACTCCCATCATGTTCAGTCAGACATCTGATGACTAAGAATAGAAGAATAGTTTTAGTTCATGGGTGCCCGATACTTCTGAAAGCTCAGCATAAACAGGCCTTTCCAGTGTGTGATCAACCGAAAGGCCATCAGAGTTTACCCTTCAAAAGGCTTATTCAATAAAGTACCAATTATTTGCCAGCTTGTTGGAGTTGTATTCAGAGTCCAGAAGACGGTGTGTATGATTAGCCAAGCAGACTGAGAGATAGAAACAACACTAACTCCTGAGTATTTTTAACAACACCATTATATATTTGATTATGTAAGCTCTGTACAATAACAGGAATGAAATGGATTTACATCACTAGCATAACATCTGTTAGAATTATCACACTTTACCACGCAGGACTTCACTGCAGGTGAATTACACCTTTATTATATATATATGTATCTATATATATACTTATATATATATATATATATATATATATATACATACAGGTGATGCTCAAAAAATTAGAATATTGTGCAAAAGTTCATTTATTTCAGTAATGTAACATAAAGGGGGAAACTAATATATGAGATAGACGTATTGCATGCAAAGCAAGATAGTTCAAGCCGTTATTTGTCATAAGTCCGATGATTATGGCTTACAGCTCATGAAAACTCCAAATGCACAATCTCAGTAAATTAGAATATTGTGAAAAGGTGCAATATTCTAGGCTCACAGTGTCCCACTCTAATCAGCTAAGTAAGCCATAACACCTGCAAAGGGTTTCTGAGCCTTTAAATGGTCTCTCAGTCTGGTTCAGTAGGAATCACAATCATGGGGAGGACTGCTGACCTGACAGTTGTGCAGAAAACCATCATTGACACACTACATAAGGAGGGAAAGCCTCAAAAGGTAATTTAGAAGGAAGTTCCCAAAGTGCTGTATCAAAGCACATTAATAGAAAGTTATGTGGAAGGGAAAAGTGTGGAAGAAAAAGGTGCACAAGCAGCAGGGATGACCGCAGCCTGGAGAGGATTGTCAGGAAAAGGCCATTCAAAAGTGTTGGGGACTTTCACAAGGGGAGTGGACTGAGGCTGGAGTCAGTGCATCAAGAGCCACCACACACAGACGGATCCTGGACATGGGCTTCAGATGTCGTATTCCTCTTGTCAAGCCGCTCCTGAACAACAAACAACATCAGAAACGTCTTACCTGGGCTAAAGAAACACAGACCTAGTCTGTTGCTCAGTGGTCAAAAGTACTCTTTTCTGTTCTTATTTGAAAACCAAGGACCCAGAGTCTGGAGGAAGAATGGAGAGGCACACACTGCAAGATGCTTGAAGTCCAGTGTGAACTTTCCACAGTCTGTGTTGATTTGGGGAGCCGTGTCATCTGCTGGTGTTGGTCCACTGTGCTTCATTGCTTCAAGTCCAGGGTCAACGCAGCCATCTACCAGGAGATTTTGGAGCCCTTCATGCTTCCTTTATGGGGATGTTGACTTAATTTTCCAGCAGGACACCTGTCCACACTGCCAAAAACACCAAAGCCTGGTTCAATGACTGTGGGAATACTGTGCTTGATTGGCCAGCAAACTCGCCTGACCTGAACCCCATAGAGAATCTATGGGGCATTGCCAAGAGAAAGATGAGAGACATGAGACCGAACAATGCAGAAGAGCAGAAGGCCGCTATTGAAGCGTCCTGGTCTTCCATAACACCTCAGCAGTGCCACAGGCTGATAGCTTCCATGCCACGCCGCATTGCCAGTAATTGCTGCAAAAGGGGCTTAAACCAAGTACTGAGGCCATATGCATGCTTATACTTTTCAGAGGTCCGATATTGTTGTACACTCCTTGTTTTATTGATTGCATGTAATATTCTAATTTACTGAGATTGTGGATTGGGGTTTTCATGAGCTGTAAGCCATAATCATCGCACTTATGACAAATCACAGCTTGAACTATCTTGCTTTGCATGTAATCCATCTATCTCATATATTAGTTTCCCCTTTTACGTTGCATTACTGAAATAAATTAACTTTTTCACGATATTCTAATTTTTCGAGTATGGGGAGAGAGAGATAGATCCTATAGTGTGTATATAGACTAGATTTAATCTTTTCTATTCCCTGGTCTGAAACTGCACCTAAGGCACTAAATAGCCTTGTACTGACTCATACATGTTGTGCAGTCATGTATCACTTATCTTGAAAACACATGGTGTGAGTATACAATAAAAAACCCATTCCCCCATTTTTTTACTTTGCAATATATTCTGTCATGTGTTCCTGATACCTATCTTCTTCTTCCACACTCCCACCATGCCCCTGACAGTGCCTGCTAGCAGAGATAATAGTTATGTAGCCTCTCGTGTCTACTTCAGTTTTGCCACTCTGAATTACAGCTCATATGTGCATTTTGTTCCAGAGCTGCTAGACTGATTTCATTTAATTGCCAGTTTACTGTTTAAACCCCAGACCTGCACTAGACTTCAGCCCACTTGTCATTTCTGACTATAGCTTTATCTTTGTGTAATATAGACATCACTGTAATTTCCATATATTCTTTCAGTGCTATCTTTTTTTGTGCTGTGACGGTATCACAATCCAGTTGGTCATTGAAGGGTATACTTCTTGTTCTCTACCTGTGTGGTCGCCATATTTTGTTTCCTGATTTTTTTTCCCGACTTGTCCACCAGAGAGCACCATTCCTGGTACGTAGTACAGCCAATACTTTATTATATAGCTGCTATACCAGCAAGGGAGCTCCCTTGGTATTTAAGGAAATACCCAGGCAGTTTTTAAAAACAGAGATATTGGGACGGAGCCTAGTCTTTGAGGTGGGTGGTCACATGCTCCCTTAGCTCCAAGTCTGCAAGG